GGAATTTTTAGGGATGCGCCAGTTTCCTCCGCTTATCTCCAGAGCATTGCTCTGGAGACGAGAGCGCCATTTTCACCCCCCTTCCTCCATTCCAGTCCATCACACTTCCAGTGTTCAACTGAAGGTTTTAAAACGTATTTTAGCCGATTAGTGGAGACTCTGGAACACTTTGACAGTTGGGGATTAGAATTGGGATTGCTATATTTTTTACTATTGGGTCAGATGCCTTCCATGGGTAGAGGAGGATCCAATCCACTTCTTTGATACTTTGTTGGATACAGATATTTTTGAATTGGAGTTGGGTTTCCTGCTTTCAAATAAATTATGTACTGTAATATTGCTATTGAGAAAGTGTAAAACTACAGGTAGTCCTTGCTTAATGGCCACATGTTCAGCAACTGTTCGAAGTTACGAAAGCACTGAACAAGGGGTACTTACGACGGGTCCTTTTAGCTGCAGCTGTCACAGTGTCCCCATGATCATATGATTGCAATTTGGGTGACCAGCTTGCAATTACAACATCACAGCATCCAGCGGTCACATGATCACAATTTATGACCTAAACTGCTGGCTTCCATCGTGCAAAGTCAATGGGGAAGCTGGCAGGAGGTCGCAAATGGCAATCACGTGACCGTGGGACGCTGCGACTGTGCAGGATTCACCTAATGACAGCAATTGGAATGGTTGTCATAAATTGGCATGGTCACATGACATCACACTTTACGATTGAGTCGCTTAGCAACAGAGTTCCTGGTCCCAGTTATTGTCGGTAAGCAAGGATTACCTGTACACATGGAAGCCAGCTAGTACGTGGTATCCCAAATTCACATTCTCATACCTTACTTTAGAAATGTTTTCATTTCAAAAGCCAAACTATTGGATAATATTCCTCAGCAGTCAAAATGTACTTTTTGTCTTAAATACTTTATATAGGTTCGAAAATGGATTTCAGATTGGAATCTTAACACGGAGAAAAAGCATACTCTTCTTAGACTGCTATATGATGTATTAGTGGACTGCAAGAAGAGGTAAGAAAGACTGCATATATATCAATCTTTAAAATATGTGTTGGATCCATAGTTAGATATATGTAGAAAAGGCCTTTTAAGCTTTTGGTACTGAAATTTACCTTTGTCATGACTAATTTAGTTCCTGTTGAATTCACTGAGTCTGTAGTTAATATGTTTTATTATATTTGGGACATCTTGGGCTTCTTCCATTTTGGGCAAGACTCTTCTGGAAAGTGCCAAACAACTCCCAGAATGGTAGTCTAGAAACATTTTCTTAGGTAGCATTTTCTACATAAGAAGGAGCTTCTATAACCAACTAATGTATCAGCTTAAAATTATAAAATTAACAATGGAAATCCATTTTAAGAAGAAAATTGAGACTGAATAACTTCACCTTATGGTTCTATGTCAAACTTGTAACTTTCCATGCACTGAGCATTAGAATAGTAACTTTATAATGCCTTTATCTGAATACTATTTTGAAATGGTTTTCAAAAGAAGTGTTATTTTCTTTCCACAGTGACAGTGCAGCAAAAGTCATGGTAGAATTGCTGGGAAGTTACACAGAAGATAATGCATCTCAGGCTAGAGTTGATGCTCACAGGTAATGTAAATACAGGTAATGTAAAGTCCATGAGCTTTTCATTTGGGGATTTTGTTCAGGATTGTTGTAAAATGGCAAAGAAGATGGCAAATAACTGTTTACCACCTGTGGGTCTTTGTAAAGCTGTATTTAACATATAGCAGAGAGATGCAGGTAAAACATATTTGTGAATGGGAAAAGGACAAATGTGCACATGTATGGGAAAGGCATGGGTCCTCTATTAATTATTACTATTTATGAATATTTTAATAATGCAGCTTTCAAGCTTTTAGAACGTAGGCAATAGGAAATAATTTTTTTTGACAAGGGTATGTGATATAAAACATAATCCTCCAAAGCATGGAAGAGAATTTCAGTCCAAGTACATGTCTGTCACAAGGCTGAATTCATTTCTTGATTAATGCTGTTGAGTGTCTTACACAGATGATGTTCTTGAACTCAGAGTCTGTCTACTTGAGAAATACTGTATACAGAAAATAGAGACAAATTCTGAAGACATGAATATGTCATATGACTTAATGGTAGTCATACTGCCCTGCTTTTGAGATGTTTCAAATTAATGTCATTAAAAAGTGTAATTTTAGAACAGGTATCAGAGCATCATTTTTCTTCCTTGTTCCTTATCTCTTTTTCCTATTATTTTGTATTTTTAGAAAGTTTAGATCTAAGGGCACAGGTTTTTAATCTATAAATTATTCTGGAAACATGTTCTGCTTAAGAGTAAGATAAAAATAATTTAAGGGGGTAATCCAATAGGTAGAATAAAATTGTGTATGTACATTTTGCTTTCTGATTAGGTGCATTGTCCGTGCATTAAAGGATCCAACTACTTTTCTTTTTGATCATCTTCTTGCCTTAAAGCCAGTCAAATTTTTGGAAGGAGAACTTATCCATGATGTAAGTTTCATTAAAAAATATAAAACTAGTATTATACAATATGAGCTAATTTTGCTGAGCTATTTCAGTGATTTAAGTCTACTTTCTTGTTCTGGATTGTGTCAGTTTTAGTGGTTGCACTAACAGGTATCAGAGCATTATGTTCCAGTGTGCTGTAAATAAGCAAGAATGTATTATAATTACCTTTGGGCATATGTGCTTCTTCTTTCCTGTCCTCAGTTTCTGCATGTGTGACAAATTATGGTTAACATGAACAATGCTTAGCTTCAAATAATCCAACTTTAAGTTACTGAAGCAAGTAATGTGCTTAAATTGTTTGTAGATAAGTATAGCCAACATTGACTGTCTGAAAAAGGGAAACTACATTTAATGAAAGAGACAAAACTGAACTACTTTCTAGACCCATGGAAGAAAGAGGGATGTAATAATCTAACCATGGCTTATTTCTACTCATACATGTCATGCTAAATCATAGCTGGACAACCTATGAGCTGCATGTAGAACCTGAGTCCTATATTTGCAACTCCATGGATTGATTGATTGATTTATATATCACATTTATATAGCTGCCCATCTCCTACAAAGTAACTCTGGGCAGCATACAACAATTAGATAAATTAACAAATAAATAAAAACAGTCATTATAAAAGATTAAAAAATGATTATTAAAATGCAACATTATCAAAAAGTTTAAAAATTTAGAATTTTAAAATATACAAACCCCACAAAGAAAGTTATATGAGACTTATATGGCTGCCTATCTCATACAGTGACTCTAGCGGCTCACAACAATCCATAAAACATAGTTAAAAACAAAGGTACCATTCCCCCCAGGCACCAGACCAAACATCCTCACAACTCAACCCGCCCCCCCCAATCCTAGCCCAATGCTTGAGGGAAGAGCCAGGTCTTCACAGCCCTCAGGAAGGCTAAAAGAATAGAGATCCCTCTGATTTCTGGTGGGAAGCTGTTCAAAAGGACTGGGATGGCCACTGAGAAGACTTCTGGTTTTTAAAAAGAAAAGCAGAATTATTGTGTTACGTCCTCAAAGTCTTCATTAAATTTAATGTACTTATTTTAATTAATTAAATAATCATGTGTGCCCCCCCCCCCAAATCCAGGCAAAAAATGCCTCTTTGGTGACCTCAGTACATAGCCACCATGATGCCTGTAGCCCTCAGCAGCTGAGAAGATGATTTTAAAAGTATTGCTTTTGCCTGCACTATACAGTGGGGCAAAAAAGTATTTAGTCAGCCACCAACTGTACAAGTTCTCCCACTTAAAAAGATGAGAGAGGCCTGTAATTTTCATCATAGGTATACCTCAACTATGAGAGACAAAATGGGGGGAAAAATCCAAAAAATCACATTGTCTGATTTTTAAAGAATTTATTTGCAAATCACGGTGGAAAATAA